TCCCCCCGGCCGCTCACCCACTCCCGCATGGCTCGCGTTCCGCTTTCCCCGTCCCCCTCCCCCTCCGCGTCCGCAGCGTCCCCCCCGTCCGCGGAGTCTGCAGCGTTCGCAGCGTCCGCGGGGGCGCGGGAGGTTCTCCCCGCAAGCGCGTCCGCAGCTGCGCGGCTGTCCGCGTGGTGGCTCAGCACGCGGAGGTGCTCGCGCACCGAGGGACTGGGGGGAGGGGCGGGGAGGAAAGAAGGGAAGAGGAGGGAAGGGGCAGGGGGAAGGGGAGAGGGGAAAGAGGGGAAGGACGTGGGCTGAGCGTGGGAAAGTGCGGGGGATTATGTGGCTGTCCGCGTGGTGGCCTAGTTTTGAGGCGCCTCAAAACTAGACGTGGTCTGAGCGTGGGAAAGTGCGGGGGATTATGTGGCTGTCCGCGTGGTGGCCTAGTTTTGAGGCGCCTCAAAACTAGACGTGGGCTGAGCGTGGGAAAGTGCGGGGGATTATGTGGCTGTCCGCGTGGTGGCGCAAACGTGGAGATGCGCGCGCAAAGAGGGACTTGGAGAAGGGGCGGGGGGGGAAAGGGGGGAAAGGAACTGGTGGGGAAGGGACGTGGAGGCGGAGAGGGAACGGGAAAAGGACGGGGAGCATGGGTTAGTGCGCGGGAGTGAGAAGGAGAAGAGAGGGAGGGGGGGGGGGGGAGAGGGGGAAAGGAATGGGGGGGACGCTGCGTGTTGCCATGCCACGTGGAATGCTTGTCCGAGACGTGTTGCACTCGCACTTGGATTTATCCACTTGGATTTATCCAGTTGGATTTATCCAGTTGGATTTATCCAGTTGGATTTATCCAGTTGGATTTATCCTGTTCGCGAGTGGAATCCAAGTGGATGATTCGTCTCGCGAAACTCAAACAACTGCCATTCCTTGTATCTTTGAGACGTCTTGTATCTCCAAGAACAACCTTTCACTTGTATCCCGAATCCTTTGTCTCTGGCCTCTATTCTCGAGATAAAAGAGATGTTTTAAGACGTCTCAAAACGAATCCTTTGTCTCTGGCCTCTATTCTCGAGTCGACTCAAAATGGCTAATCTGTTGATACCGGCTACCTGATACCTGAGGTTTTGCCCGTCGTGGATATCTGCGAAATATTATGTCGTTTTCGCAAGCGAGATGTCTGTTTCAATCGAAACGGCGACGGGATGTGGGTGGGGGTGCACTCCCACGCCGCTGCGCGCCGAGCAGGGGAAACCATCAGCGCGCCTTGAGGCGACTCAAAAAACACTCGCTGGAAAATTCGTGTGGCTGCAACGGGATGTGGGTGAGGGTGCACTGCCACGCCGCCGCGCGCCGAGCAGGGGAAACCATCAGCGCGCCTTGAGGCGACTCAAAAAACACTCGCTGGAAAATTCGTGTGGCTGCAACGGGATGTGGGTGAGGGTGCACTGCCACGCCGCCGCGCGCCGAGCAGGGGAAACCATCAGCGCGCCTTGAGGCGACTCAAAAAACACTCGCTGGAAAATTCGTGTGGCTGCAACGGGATGTGGGTGAGGGTGCACTGCCACGCCGCCGCGCGCCGAGCAGGGGAAACCATCAGCGCGCCTTGAGGCGACTCAAAAAACACTCGCTGGAAAATTCGTGTGGCTGCAACGGGATGTGGGTGGGGGTGCACTCCCACGCCGCCGCGCGCCGAGCAGGGGAAACCATCAGCGCGCCTTGAGGCGACTCAAAAAACACTCGCTGGAAAATTCGCGTGGCTGCAACGGGATGTGGGTGGGGGTGTACTGCACTCCCACGCCGCGTTTGGAGACGTTTCACAACGAGATGTAACGGCGCTACCTGTAACGGCGCTACCTGTAACGGCGCTACCTGTCGAAAAACTCGTGCGGTTGCGACGGGATGTTGGTGCACTCCCACGCCTCTGCGCGCCGAGTAGAAGAAAGCATCAGCGCGCACGCCGCGCACGCCCACGCGAACACCCATACGGACACACGGATGCGGAGCGACACTCGCGGCCACAGTGCGCCGAGAGGCGCGACAAGCGGTGAAGCTCTCCTATGCCCCAGCCGACCGCGGATCGCTGCGGAAGAACGACTGGCCGCCGCCATGCTCGCAAATTCGCGCAAAGTGTAGTTCGAATTCCGACTTGAGAATTCCAACGAGCCGCGACTGGGCAATTCGTGCACTTTCCGGAGGCTCGAGGAGAATGGCGGGCTCGAGGAGAATGGCGGGCTCGAGGAGAATGGCGGGCTCGAGGAGAATGGCGGGCTCGAGGAGAATGGCGGGCTCGAGGAGAATGGCAACCTCGAGGAGAATGGCAACCCTGACTCGAAGCAGGTTGCAGGCAGGCAGCCCCCTCGTTACGAACCCCGTCCGGATCTTGCGGTAAGCGGCACCTACGAAATAAAATTACTAGTTCTTCGATGTGCTCATGTTTGGTTTTGATTTGGCGCCCCCCAGTGTTTTTCCTCTCTTTTTTTGCGCCCCCAATTTTTTTCCCACTGCAACCGCAAGCTCTTTCCTCATTGCCTCCCTTCAAATGCGGTCGCGATAGCGATGGCTTTTGCGACTCTAGAAATATGGACCGCACTCAAACGCATTTCAACGTTTTGAGCCAAGGCCACAACTTTTTCAACTCCTCCAAAACACTTCCGAACCCGCGCAACCCAGGGGGGGATCGATTGAAGGACGCCTGAACGCGTTCCACCTGGAGATTTCCATGTCACTATCCACAACCGTATATCCAAGGCTTGCCGCGTCACACTCGCATACGCTCTGTAGCAATTCTCCCGATGCGAACTAGTAACTGGATGCGCCGAAACTGCATTGTACGAATTTACTGAACAGAGGGCAAAACAGCATTCTGCTGTTCTCCACTTATTTCACATCAATACATAGTAATACTACCATTACCGTACTACATTGCTGCTCCTTCGTCTGGTTTTCTCGTAGAAGAATGTGTGCCTTCAGACGTTGCTCAGCGTAGTGGGAAGATCTGGGTTGCAAGCTGAAGGTTGGGTCGAAGCGGGAGAGGCGGCATTTTCGTGCTTATTCCTGGAAAGGACGGCAAGCTGCAAGCAGGAACAAAACAGAAAGGGGCATGGGGACTCATGATGACTCACAACTTACATGAATCGTGGCTAATGCTAAAAAAACTAGTGGCACACTGTCAAAACAACGTTTGGTTGGACTGAGCATCTGTTCCTACTCCCGCATAGCCCACCTTTCCACGGACAATACTAGATTGCGCTTCAGCTGCTGCAACATGTGGCTCGATTCATGTAACTGCACATGCGGGCAACAACACACAACCGTGAACCTCTTTCTGTATGGATAGCATGGAAATATGGTGCATGGCAGAGCTTAGTTAGTGGCACAGCATGGTGTACAACAATTGTAGGGCCATAAGACTGGGAAAAAACTGTCTGAAATCTTAACAGACCAAACAAAATCCACACCTTTTGCAGTCGGAGCGCCTCTTTGATCTTCTCGATGAGTACAGTGCTATGCGCCAGCCGCGCCTCCTGCTCCACTGGCACACTCCACGGTACCGCAGACGACAATAAAGGGGACGACGGCCGCTCGGCTACTGGAGGTGGCACCGTGGCCGTGAGCACAGACGTGGGGGACACGGACGAGCCGGGTGATTCAAACAACCCTCGTGCTGCCAGCGGTGGCTGCGACAGGAAAGGGGCTTTAACCCGCTTATGGTAATCCGCTCCACGTGCTTTTGATTTCTGCTTTGCTCTTTGTGCCATCCCTTGCTGCGTCCCTTGCTGCATGCCCTGCTGCACGCCCTCCTGCTTCACGCCCTGCTGCATGCCCAAGACCGGCGCCGGTGGCTCCAGGTGCTGAATCATGAATGTGACATCCGCAGCATTGGTGGCATCAGCAGCAGCATCAGCGTCAGCAGCAGCAGCAGCAGCAGCACCAGCAGCCTTGTCGCAACCAGCAGCACCACTCACGCCACCGCTCTTGATGTCTGTTCCAAGGGCCGTGCACTCCAAAGGAGCCAAGTCCGCAGCAGCAGCAGCAACAGCACCATCAGTAGCGGCAGCAGCAGCACTAGGAGCAGGAGCAGCAGGAGCAGCAGGCGTATCAGTGGCTAGTAAGCGGTCAAGAGTCATTGAGAGGGCGTCACAGAACTCGCTGGCAGGAGCAACACTGGAGCCCGCGACATCATCCCCCCGCGTGCCCCCACCCCCCCATCCGCCCCCTTTTCCCCCACTCCCCGCAGAACCGCCCTCTGCTTTCACTGGCGGGGATTCGCCCAGGCCTTGCGCCAGCAGCCTGTCCTCCTCTTTGACTGCCTCGTTATGCGTTGCGTCCGCCGCTGCTGCTGCTGCTGCTGCTCCGCGCGCGTCTGTGCTGCGCGATGCCTTCTTCCGCGGGGAGGTGGCCTGCGGGCTTCCGAGCTTCCGCTTGTGCTGCTCTCGAGCCTGGGGAGGGGGCGCGCGGAGGGGACGGGCGGAGGGGGCGGGCGTAGCGGAAGAGCGGAGGGGGGAAGAGGAAAGGGGGAGGGTAACTGGCTTTCGAGTTTCCGCTTATGGGGAGGAGGGCCGAGCGGAGGCTGGGGAGGGGGCGCATGGAGGGGCCGAGCGGAGGCTGGGAAGGGAGCGCATGGAGGGGCCGAGCGGAGGCTGGGGAGGGGGCGCACGGAGGGGGCGGGCGGAGAAGTGCGAAACGAGGGACGGGAAACGAAACATTGCGCGCATGCGGGAAAGCAAACGAGTGAGGAGAATCTGTGCACCATCCCTCTTACATCAAGCGACTCGATAAAACCGCGAGGACGCTCCGCCATTAGCGCGCCATTGACGCCAATGCATTGCCGGCAGCTGTGCCTTCTCCCAAGGAGTTTGTGTAAGTTTTTGCCGAGCGATGTGCGCTCTGCGTCGCGCAATGTGGCCTCTGCGTCGCGCTTTAGAGGTTTCAGAGGCGGTCGCGTCTTGACCAAATGGGCTTTGTAGAAGGCTTTGGTGTTTCTTACGAGTCAGTCGCGAGTGCGGATCTTTAGAAAGAGGTTATACCTTGTCGCGCCATCTGCAGCGAATCGCCACATCTCTAGCCGTCTTGCTCGGCAGACACGCGGCCACTAGCAGGTACTTCTGTAACGGAGACGAGTTGCTATCTGCATGCCTGGTTTGGATGGAAGAGTGGATTGAAAGGAGGGCAGAGAGGGAGGGGGGTGAGAGGGTGAGAAAATCATAATGGCCACGGGACAGTGCGGCTTGGGAAAAGGGGACGCGGGCTGTGAGAAACATTGGAATGCAGAACGAGCGTTGGGACTTATTTTATTTATTTATTATAACTATTATTTTTTTGGCTTCTCCGCGACAAAGGAGGAGTCTGGTGAGCAGCAAAGTGCGTGCGAGAGCTTTTTCGCGAGCGAAGTTTGCGAACCTCGCCAATGCTCGCTGCAGCTCGCGATCTTCCTCCGGCGACCACGACTGCGACAGCAGCGGGAAATGAAGCAGCTCCGCAATCGGCGCTGAACGCGCCTCGATACCCCCTGAGCACATCTCCGCCATGGCGATTGCCCCCGGCGCTGCCGCGCACGCCGTCGCAAGATCTCCTCCCGCTGCGGCGGGGCGCAAGCCGTTTTCCGCGCATGCACCGGATTGCGTGGCGGCTCCGCGTGCGCTTTCTTGCGCGGTCCCTCGCACGGCGGTCGTTCGCGCCGCGACGGCCCGTACTCCTGGCGTCTTTTGAGGTGACAATGCCGAGCGGTTCTGCTTGTGTTCTACCGAGAGTGGGCTGGGATGGGAAGAGGGAGTCGGGACGAAGTGAAACGGGGAACAAATCGCGGCTCGGTTGGGAGTTTCACGCGGCGTGAAGGGCGTGGAGAAGCCGTCGACAAGGCACAGACCGCCGCTGGACGGCATCCCGATCTCGAAGCGAAGTACAGAATAATCGACGAACGTGTGCCGCACCTGAGTCCGCTATTAGTCTTTCACATAATTTATTAATTGCGGCACACAAGCGGCAGTTGAGCACACCACCAAGCACACCCGCAGGTGCAGGTGGGACCAAGATCCAGCAAGGTAAACAATTCGCGAAACGGACGAGGATGGTCTGGGTTGGAGAGATGCAAGAGCGGCCTTCGAAAAAGCTCTCAGGTCAGTGAACGGACACTCTAAGGCAACGAGTTGAAGATGAGGGGGAACGAACAATCAATCTGTCAGCTCTTGCGTGCGATTTTGCCTGGCAGAAGCCACAATGGGGACGTGTGGATGTTTAGCTATTGATCACCTGCTCCACAGCAACCTTGAGATTTGTCCAGCTTTGATGCATCGCCTCGAAATTTGCGACGCTCTCTACCTCGCCTTGGGGATTGCGCGCCCGCTTTGGGGAACGTAGGGGAAGATGGTTGCGGGACGCACCGGAGGGGAGGCGGAATTGCGCGCCGTGCGGCAGAACTTGACTCAATGGTCAACGCGCGCGTGAAAGCACCCAAGAGGAGGAAGGGGAACGAGGGAGCACTCCTCGGTGATGGGGAGGAAGGGAGGAGAGGAGGGCTGCGGAAAAGTTGTGTCCGCAGCGCCAGGGGAGAATTCAACACATCTATACGAACGACAATCAACGGACGGTGAGATGTCGACGACATCCGAAACGGACTGCTTGGATGGAATTCTGCTTCCAGCGTGAGAGGAGTGTTTCCCCAAGGTCTCGATCCGGGGAGCATTCATTCCAGGCGGGGACCAGACAAGTGTGAACAGTTGTGTCGGATCAAATCAATCCACGTGCAACCCGCGTTTTGTTTAATTCTGCCCGCTCCTCGTGGCGTTTTGTGCAGTGCAGCACGCAACACAATTCCTAGGAGCCGAGCCGACTTGTAAAAAAACATGACAATCCCTGTGAAATTCCCTGTCTAAAAAACGACATTGTTTAGCGGGCCTCCTGCTGCAACGATTCGTTGTTGAAAGGCAACAGAAGATCATAAGTAAAATCGAAACATTAAGATACTGTACACAGTAAACCGTATTTGCGTTGCAGCAATGTCCCACGCAGACCAGCGGCAAACTCCACTTTCAATCCGTTGCCACGCTGAATCTCCTATAAATGACGTGTCAAAACGCTGACCACAGTGCAACTTGGCATTATTGCATGTAGAAAAACGCGTTATCCACTCTCAGCAAAGTACAGTACACACCAGATGCGCCCTGATATATTTTACCCAAACGTACATGGGAATAAATGGCATTCCTTAACCCAATTTGCAAATGGAGCGAAACGTGCAACAAGCTGACCCTTATTGTCTTTATCGCATCTAAACGGAGAATTCATGTCAACCAACAACTGCTCCACCCGACTCCTTACCGCCGAAGCTCCTTGCTTCCGACTATGCTTCCCCCATCCAGTCACAATGGAAACTCTGCCTGACAAATTCCGCGCGCTCCTAGTACCATCCCCCTGATTCCATTCCAGTCTCCACTCCTCACTTCCCACATCTCGTGCACCCCCACAGACCAAATCAAAGCCCATCAAATCAATGCCACTCCCTGCCACCTCCAAACCACGGCTGCTATCCTCACGTGCAGTTCCCTCCCGCTGGCTCATGATGAGCCAGGCCAGCAGCACCACAGCAGCAGCTTCAGAGTGCAACCCATGCAGATCAAGCTGCAATTCAACGCAGCCAGTTGCACTCGCACCATTTCTGCTCCCACTTACCGAATTGCTGCTGGTAACTGCATCAATGCAATTATTGCCACCAGCACGAGCACCCCTGTTGCTGCTGTTGCTGCTGCTGCTGCTGCTGCTGCTGCTGCTGCTGCTGCTGCTGCTGCTGCTGCTGCTGCTGCTGCTGCTGCTGCTGCTGCTGCTGCTGCTGCTGCTGCTGCTGCTGCTGCTGCTGCTGCTGCTGCTGCTGCTGCTGGTGCTGGTAACCGCAGCCACATAGCATCGGAGCAGGGCAGTGAAAGCACGCACCAGTGCGCGGCTGTCCTCACCAGAGAGTGCTGGTAACTGCTGCTGCTGCCGCTGCTGAGATAGGCCTGACGGTGGTTCGGAATGTGGTTGGGGAAGGTTGAGGACGATTCTGTATCCCGCACAGCACCCAAATTTTGCTTCTGCATTTGAAGCACTTGCTGCCAGCTGTGGTGCTGCCTGTGATGCTGGTTGTGCTGCTGCCCGTGGTGCCACCCGTGGGACCTCAGCCAACGGTGCGGCGACAGCTGGCAGCAGCGGTGGGACGACAACTGGAGGCAGCATTGGGACGACAGTGGCACCCAGGAGGCGCACTGCCAGGTTCACAGTGGTTGCTGGTGGTGGGGATTGCACAGCTGGCTCTGTTGCCATCAACCCGTTGTTGCGTGCCACGTCAGCAGTGGTTGACACGTCAGCAGCCATGTGATGGAGCATGGATGCGACCTGCTGCCACTGTCCCCTCTCCCAGGAAGCTCGCAGAAGCAGCTCCCTTCTCCTCCACTCACCCGCACTCCTTCCTCCCCCTCCTCCTCCTCCTACTGATAATGCTGATGCTACTGCCGGTGGTGGTGGTGTTGCTGCTGCTAATGGCGTTCTTAGACTGCTCATTTCCCCCACCACCTCCTTCATCTCTCCCACCATCTCCTCTATCTCCGCCCCAACCTCCTCCATCTCCCCCCACCGCCTCTCCCTCGCCAGAGCCACCATCACCGCCTCCCCTGCCCTCCTCGCTGCCACTGCCACCTGGCCCCTCCCACCCCGCCACATGGCAGCTCCCGATTGGAGCACAAAGCGCAGCAGCATGAGGGCGTCATTGGGGCGACGGCAGCGGGCAAGTGCGGCTGCAAGCAGCAACACCGCGTGTGCCTCCCTCTTTAAAGCCCGGGTTGGGGTCCTGCTCTCACAACCCAAGGTAGGTTCATCCCACCCCCACATGATACACAGCAGCACTGCAACTGCCCCGTCCACCACTCCCACCGCGCCAAACGCCTCTATCAGTGCACAGCCCGAGGCATAGGAGAGGGGCTGGGAGGCCTGAGAGGAATGGGAAGACAGAATGTTGGGTGAGAGGCTCTGCTCTGCTACTGCAGCTAGTTCCTCTGCTGCTGCCATCTGCTGCTCTGGTGCGCACAGGCTTTCTGCCTCTGTCAGCTGGTTTGAAGGGATGAACTGCTGTGACAGGAGAGCGTTCCAGAGTGGCGGAGCAGGCGAAAGGAGCAAGGGAAGTCTGCCCAGTATGGGGAGAGATACAGAGGCCGGAGGTCGTGTGATGCAGCCAGGCGAAACTGACTGCCCTGCTGGAACTTCTGCTGTGAGCTCTGTGCTTCTCATGTCCTTTTTCCCAGGATCAGTAGCTTGCAGATACATGCCGAGTGCATGGGCAGATGCCTCATGCTGCTTCGTGCTTGAATCACTGACCTGTGTATGCACTTGCGGCATCTGACCAATCAGCTGCACTCCCCTCTCCACCTGATTCGCTGCCACCAGCCCCGCTGCCACACGGGCGTGCAACCGCAGAGCGCCACCTGTCCACTTCTGGCTGCCAAATGTCCTCTGCTGACCTGTCATCTCGCGCTCAGAGCTGCTGCCACCACGAGCAGGAAAATCAGGCGCTCTAGAATCCTCAGACTCTTCAGAATCCTCGGAATTTGATTCATATGAAAAATCTGATGAATCTGGTCGCCTGTTATCAGGGCAAGTGGCTGGTGGGACTGATTCAAGGACCTGGAAAAAGAGAGGGAGGAGAAAGGGGGGAGAAAAGGAGGAACGACGAGAGGGATATATCAACTGCAATGTTACTGGCTCAAGGACGTGGAAACAGAGAGGGAAAAGAGAGTGGGGTGTAAGGGTAGAGACGGGGGAGAGATAAGAGGGAATTCTCAACAACCATGTGTTGTGACTGGCTCAAGGATGTGGGGTGATGTGATGTGGCCATGGCAGGACAAGGAATGGGTTACGGTGCAGATACCTAATTTTATATCAATTGGAAAACCCCAATTTATCAAGGAAGTGTTTTGAACCAACTACACACCCTGAACACGCTGCAGCTCCTGTACATGGGTATTTACACCGCTACTTCTGCTGATTAGCAATTCAGTTTCGACAGCATATTTTGCTCACACCACACATCTTTGACAACAGCAAGAAACACACGTTTCAGATAGTTCTTCTGCTATCAACAAAGAATCTTTCAAACGTTGGCTCTTCACAATGAAAAAATGCAACCCCTCCTCCTTCCTCCCCACACCACAAAGAATAGATGTAAAAGCAAAAAAAGTCGCTCTCATTACACTCACATCTGCTGCCAGTTCGAACTGCTGCAGTCGCCACAGCTCCTCAGCAACGGACCGCAGGAAACCCGCAGGAAGCTTCTTCAGTCTGCGAAGTTCACCCAGCAGTCCGTCCCCCCCCCCGCTGTCAGATCTGGCAGCCAATAGCAGCGCGTGCACGGCTCTCGCCACCCGATTGGTCACTGTTCGAGACATGCGCTTACGGCCGCCCAGCCCAGAGCGCAAGGGGCGGAAGCCAATGTCGCCGGGCGCGCTGGCGGCGGAAGGCGAAGCGCGGGTGGCGGAAGCTGAAGCGGAATAGGCGGACGCTGAATGGGAGGAGGCGGAAATTGAACCGAGGGTGGCGGAAGCTGAAAGGGGAGCGGCGGAACTTGAAGCGCGGGTGGCGGAAGCTGCGCCCAAACCGTGACCCATATTGGGGACTGAATGCACATCTTGACGCGACGTCGTCTGATGCCTGATTGCTCTCGAGCCAACCTCGATGTTGCCGTGAGTTCCGTGGCCGGCACTGTGAGCGCTGGGCCTCGCGAGAGTCTCGCGATTTTCGCGACCGTTACTATTCTCAACGCCATTCCTGGCTGCAGAAATTGCCGAGCAGTTTCCTCCTAGCGGTTCAGGCGCTATCGCTGAACCTAAGCACGGAAACGGCTCTCGGGATAAGCTAGCTGCGGTTGGTGGTTCTAATCCCCCGGCCCTTTGCGACGAGTTCTGAGAAACTAATAGCTCAGCGGCAAGATTCGAACCCGGGTCTCCTGGGTCACAGCCCTGTTCGCTCGTCCTGGAATTCCGCGTGTCCGAGCGGCGTCGATCACGGATAACGGGCCCGCCGAAACCCTTGGGCTTGCCGGTAGCAGGATCCGAGACCGGCAGACTAGGTCGCTCGCTCCTAACTGCGATTTTCTTTCTCTGAAGACCGCTTCGCCGTGGGTTCGCGAGGCATTTCACACGACGGCATGTGGGCTCGCGGTTGGTTTTGTATTGCTCGTGGATGGAAGCGCTACGCCCGCGCTGGATGAGGTGTTGGTTAAGATGAAAAGAATCCGTCAAACGTGGGTGTGGTACTGACGGGATAGTAACTGTTTTGGCCGGAAATCGTGACGGATCGACGGAGAAACGAGGGGAGTTGACGGAGAACGGAGGACAAACGGAGTTCAACGACAACGCTGACATTACTGCGGGAGAAACCTAGAGAATGCCGAGAGAAGCATGCTTGTGAACGTAGATAATGCCGATCGTAGGTGCACCGCGATATGAAAGGGTCATGGCAAGGCTGCATCCATCCATCTAAGGGGCGTGCGCGTGGCGTTGTTGAATTCAACCCTGATGGATCAGTTCGGGGCAGTGGGGGGTGTAACAGATGAAATCGTGTAACTACAAAACTCGTAGGCATTAGTGCTTTCCTACAACTGTTAGGTACCGTTCTAGCCACATTGGAGAGCCCAGGGTTGTCCTTATAACCAGTTTAAGACAGAGCTACAGTAAAACTATTCCCCTAACAAACCTAAAATGCCTCTCCCTACAACATCAGCACAACTGGTCCCCATACGATGGGACACGCTGCTGCTGCTGCCACTGCAAGTGAAAGTCTTGCTCCAGCCCCACTATAACAGCCTTGGAGTCACTCCTGTTACAGTCCCTCCTGTTACAGTCCCTCCTGTTACAGTCACTTCCTTTACAGTCACCCTTACAGTCATGCCTGTTACAGTCACTCAACTCATGGCCACAAGGGTCCACAACCCCATCCTCATCCTTCAACAGGCAATACGAATCCTCCACCCAATCGCGTCGCGCCATGTGCACCGATGCCACCGGTACATATGGCATCGCAGTACCATCAGATGCAATGGGTGGTGCAGTCACCGCCCGCGGGAAAGGTGCAGCGGCAACCGGGGGCACGGGCGGCAGCGGTGCTGCCACTAACATAGAAGGCACCATGTACCGCATTGCACCGGCCTCAACCCCAGTATCCTCAGGAAGACAGTCCGTCGTCTGTTCTGCAGAGCAGTCCTCAGGAATGAGGCCACCATCATCGTCTTCCTTGCTGGTGTGACACTGTTTACTAGCAACCTGCACGTGACTATAAGCGGAGGCTTCGCTGTAGTCACGCTCGCTTCCTCCAAACCCAAAATCCCCTACTCCTGCACCGAAAGATCTGCATCGTCGAAACGGCCGCCTGGGTGTACTGGACTTAGGAGACGCGTGTACAGTGACACCCCTGAGCCCACCCCCTTCCACATTGGAGACTCGTGTACTAGTTTCTGCACCACAGGCAGCTGCTGCGCTCTCAGGCGTCTCAGAGGCAGTGGCCCCCATAAATGCGTTAAGTGAGTGCCCTGCTCTGGACAGTGGCGGCTCAAAGCTACTGCGAGAGCTCCGACCAGGTGCCTTGCCGGATGGGGAACACGCGGGGGGTTTGTGAGGCGCCTCAATGAGAGTGCTCCTGCTGGGTCCCGTGTTGCCGGATGGTGAGCACACAGGAGGCCGATGCGGCAAAGGAGGTACCGAAACGCAAGGCGTACCGAAGCTCCGTGAGTTAGGAAATTTTGGGTGTGCTGATGGGTGCGGCATGGTTGGATGCTGCACGGATAGGTGCTGTGCGGTTGAGTGCGGCAGTGTCGTTCTTCCAGCAGCAACTCTGGGAGAAAGGGGAGGCAGGCGGGGCGAGCGGAGCGAGGGGGAACGGCGGAGCGCGGACGGGGAGGGGGGAAGGAGGGAAGGACGGGAAGGGGAGGAGGAGAGGAGGCGCGCAGATGGGCAAGGGAGGACGTGGCGGAGAGAGGAGGGCGAGTGGTGGAAAGCGGCGGGGGAGTGTTGGTGGAAGGAGGGAATGGTGAACTCATCTATCTGTTCCAGCCTCATCCACTCCGTGTCACCTGCATGCAGGCTTCGCGTCCGCCTGTGCGCCCTTGCCAGCAGCGCCTGCTGCTGCTGCTGCTGCTGCTTCTGCGGCTGGTGCTGCTGCTGGTCCTGTGTGTGCGGCACGCTTGGGTGCGGCGGGATTGGGTGCGGCACTAATGGTGTTCCAGCAGCGGCTCTGGGAGAAACAGGGAGCAGGCGGGGCGAGGGGGGGGCGCGCAGCAAGCAGAGGCGAGGTTGAAGCGAGGGCGAGAGGAGAGGCACAGATGGCGAGGGGCGGCCGAGGGGCAGCGCAGAAGCCGCTCCCATCTGCTGCTGGAATGAAGGGACGGTGAACTTTTGAGAATTCTCAAAAGCGACCTGCTGCTGGAAGGAAGGGACGGCGGACTCGCCGATAAGCTCCAGCCGGATCTTCTCCAAGTCAGCAGAATGCAGGCTGCGTGTCCGCCTGTGCGCTCTTGAAAGCAGCTGCCGCTCTTCCCGCTGCTGCTGCTGCCCCTGCCCCTCCTGCCCCTCCTGCCACTCCCGTTGCTCTTGCTGCTGCTGGTCCTCTGAGTGCGGGTCTGCCGCCCTCCTCTCCCCCCCTCGCCACGGGGGGACTCCCCCACGCCCCTCGCCCTCTCCGCGCGCGGCCCTCTCCGCGGAGGCCACGCGCAGGCGGTGCTGCGCGAAGGACGGCACGCTCACCACCCACGCGGCGCCGCCAGCAGACCGCGGGGACGGGGGGGGGAGATCCGCGGGGGTGTGCGCGGAGGGGGCAAGCGGGCCTGCGCCAGCTGCCCCTGCTACAGCTGCTGCGAATGTCCCGTGCGCTACAGCTGGTACCATCTCTGCGCTACCCACTCGTCGCATGCTGCCCTGCTGGATGTAGCTGCGCTGATCCTCGCCCTCCGCGGATCTGCTGCTGCCATTCGTCACGTGTCCGCCATCCCCCCTCGATTCCCCCGCAGAACTTCCCCTCGCATTCTCTTCGGGATACCCCCGCGGGCTCTGCAGCGACCGCGTGCGCCGCAGGTCGCGGGGGAGGCTCCGCCAGAGGGTCACGAAGTCTCCGCCGCCCCCATCCGCAAGAGTTTCCCCCATCCGCGCATTTCTCCCCACTATCAGCGCGCCTTGGTCACCCACCAGCGCGTTTCCTCCGCCCATTTGCGCATTTTCTCCGCCCATTGGCGCGCTGGCCCCCCACGCAAGCGCGTCGTACCCGCTGCAGCTAGATGCTGACGTCACACTCTCACAGTCCGTGTCACGATCCGTGTGCTGGATGATCAGCGACTCGCTATAAGCACCTTCGGTATAAGCCGCAGTGCTGCTGCTAACTACACTACCAGCCGCGCCAGCAATGCTGCTACTGTACGAAATGCGCCGCTCTATATCCTCCCTCTCCGCGTCCCCGCGTTCCGAAACGCTGTCCCCCGCCCCGTCCGCCACGCCCCACACTCCGCCGCCCAACGGCCGCTCACTAGCCGCAGAGAAGCTCGTCCCCTGTGCAAATATCGAGCGGAGCCTATCCTCGCTATAAGCTGCCCCATTATTCGTGTCCGCCGCCGACGCCGCTGTATCACCCGGATCGCTCAGCTCGTTCCCTTCGGGCAACGCGCCACTTACTCCGTGTCGCGCCGAAGCTCCCATATACGTCAGGCCGAACAGCGGAGATTTTGGGCGGGAAAGCGGCGCGGCGGAGCGCCAACGGCTGAAGATTCCGCTTGGCGCCGTGCGCGGACGAGCGGAAAATTCACGCGGCGGTTCCTCTGCTGCGGAAGGCCCCACGCGTTCTCGCGCGGATGCTGCCACGATACCTGATTCCGACGCGCGAGCTGACGCGTCATGGTTCAGCTCCCAGCTGACGTCAGCAACGCGCTGGCTTTGCGATGATTGGATAACGCTTTGGGACCGGGGCGCCGGAAAGCCGAAGGTCGCAGAGTCTCCGCGTTTCTTACGGCGGCTGTTGCGCGCCGACGAAGGCGCCCACTGCAGCAGCATGCGCGCAAACCCGCTTGCGGAACCCAGCGGAGACTGTTTCGGCGCGCGGGCGGACGGGCCCGCTCCTTCCGCATTCCGCGCTTTGCTCTTCTCCCTTTTCCCAGCCCGATTTCTCGTTTCTTTGGTCGTTTTTGATTCGGACGGCGACGCGTGGACCTCCCACATGCGGTCAACCTCTACGGAGTTGCCACGTGGCATGGGAAAGGGAGAGGCTTGAACGAAGAGGGGCCGCGTCGCGGCATCATCGCTCGCTCGGTCGCACGAGTCGTCGCACGGCGTGTCGCCGCACGGAGTGTCCTCGCACCGCGTGTCGTCGCATGCCGCGTCGTCGTCGTCAGCGGGGATGACGATTCGAATGGCGGGAAAGCCGCGAGCACTTGCGGAAAGGGAGCGATGGCGGAACCCAGTCGGCGCGGTTGCCCCCGCGTTCGGTGGACACTGCGCCATGGCTGTCCGCTCGCCGCTCATTGCGCTACTCAACGATTGCGAACGTCTGGAAAGCTTACGCGACTCGTCCCTTGACGAACGGTCTAGTATTGACGGTTCGTCCATTGACGGCTGGTCGATTGAAGGCTCCGTGAGATACGCTACCGTCATGACTTGGCGTTGGTTGCTGTCCATAAAAAAACTGGAATTTCCGAGAAATTATTACCAAGGTGTACATAGCACAGACACACAGTCCGAAATCCAGTCCGTTTCAGCAATCTACAACGACGAATTTTTCGTTGATGGCAAATCGCGGGCGCAGAACTGTGTGGAGTGCGAGAAGCACGGCGGGCGGAAAGTAGAACCACGAACTGAAGGGACGAAATGTATGCAGCGCAGAGAACATGGTCCGGTGCACATTCGTCCCGTCCCGTCATGCTTGGGAAGCGTAGAAGAGGCTGAGCTGGGAGGCTCATCATCACATGTCATTCTCATAAGTGGTGGGAGAGATTGGTTGGTTTGGGTTGGGAGGGTGCGCTCGAGCCGCCAGCGGACTGTACCACGCGTTAACATATCGCAACCGTATAGGACCGTCTAGGCCGTGAATGAGGTTGCCCCACCGCACGTCCACGTTGCACTGGTCGAGCTGGAAATGGGGTGGGGGAGTATGGGTGCAGTGCAAGGGGAGGAGCGATATGACAGACTGCTTCAAGAGCGGTTTGAGTCGGTTAAGAGTAGCACGCTTGCTGCTGTCGGTGGTTAGATCTGGTTCGATGCTTTACGACAGACCAGACCAGCACGGTTGATGGCTAACTGCTCAAACGTGGATGCGATGCGATGCGATCGAGGTGAAAGCCGCTAAGAGACAGAAAGATCCGTTTGCCATTGACCATTGAATGCCGTGGACACCACTACAGACAACCATGTTACTGGCCAGTTCTGGACGGGAGCTGCCCAGTGGCATGCAGCGACGAAAGCGAAGACGCCAACAGAGAATCAGGACTCTTTGATGCCACAGGTCCTCGATATTGTCACTTTCCGGGGGTCACATCATTTTCTATGGCACGTCCGCACTTTCCTGATTTCCATTCGTTGTCAAGAATGTTCATGTATAAAGTAAATTGCATACATTACAAAATCACTAACCATCTTGATAACAGGTGCGTCACTCTGTTCACAACACGGTAGGTCAGTGTGGTAAAGGATTTCTAGCGTTGACTTGGGTTGGAAACTGACTTAGCTATTCTCCTCATAAGCCTACGCAACAATTCAGCATACACAAATCGAACCAGCAAACTAGAAACTACAAAATATACAAATGTACACTACATTATTCAGCTCTGCACATTATGTAACGGCCTTCAGTCTTACAGGCGGCTGGAGAAAAACTTCAAAATCCCTGTAACATGCCACCATACCCCGGTGGATGCATGAACACAACAGCCCAGCAAATGTCAGTACAGTACCATCACTAACAGCAGAAAGCCAGTAACAGGAAAAAAACACTCCCGTTTTCCCCATCCCCAGTAACAGGAAAAACACACTCCTGTTTTCCCCAGCCCCATCCCCTCGTTTTAGTCACCTCACGCGCCTGGCTCCATGACTGGCCGTGCTGCCTCCTCCACTGCTTCCGGCCGCCCCACTGCTGCCACCTTCCCCCCTGGCCCCGCCATCACTCCACTAGCCTCCCCCTCCCCTACTGCTGACACCGGCAACCCTGCTGTTGCTGCCTGCTGCCTGGTCACCCCCCCACCACCACCAACAGCACCGGAACCACCGCCAGCAGAAGAATCATAACCACCACCAGTGGTGGAAACCAAGGCTCGCTCACCCCCTGCTTGCCCACCCGTAGAGCCACCACCAATGAGTCCTCCAGTGAGCGTGCTCACAGCACCCAGAGCCGTCCTCTCTGCTCCCTCCAGCACTGACAGCATCGCATGCCTGCCCTTCTCCGCAGCGCTCTCCTCCTCCCACTCCACTCCCCTCTTACCAACTGCCTCCCCCACCTCTTCACCCATACCCTCACCCGTCCTCTTGCCCATCCTCTCACCCTTCCCCTCGGCCATCATCTCTCCTGTTCCTCCCAACCCCTCCTCACCGTGCGCCCCTCCCAGCCCCACCAGGTGCTTGGCGCGCTCTACCAGCCCTGTCACTCCCCCAGTAACCCCCTCATACCCTGCTGCTACACCCTGCTTCGTCCCTTCATATCCACTCTGCACACCCTGCTTTACTCCCTCATACCCCTTCTCCAGACTCTCCCTGCCATATTCAATACCGCTCTCCACCCCTTCAACCCCCTGCTGCACCCCCCTCTGCCCCATTCCCACCGCACTTCCCCCTGCGCCCACCACTGCTCCCCCCACTGCCCTCGTCGCCCCCAGTGCTGACTCAGCAGCATGCTTGGCCACGTCAGCAGTACCACCCACCACACTCTGCACCGCCCCCATAGCACTGCCCACGATTCCCTTGCTTGCCTCCGCAGGCTTTGCAGAAACTTCCTCCTCTACCCCCACTCGTCCCCTAATTCCTCCAGTTCCCCCTCCCCCCATGCCTTCCCCCATCCCTCCCCTCTGCACTAGTCCCCGCATCTTCTCCCCCACTCCCTCCCCACCTTCTTTCTCCCTCATCTCCTCACCACCAACTGCACCAACCCCTGCCCTCTCCCCTGCCCTCTCCCCATGCCCCCTCCCTCCCAGCAATCCCCCTGTCAGCACCCCAGCCACACGGCTCACTGTCCCCTCCACCCACTCCTCTGCACCGTGCAGCACCGCATACGCCTGCTTCCTGCCCCTCTCCCTCGCACTCTCCTCCTCCCTCTCTCGCTCCATCTGCTCCATCCTCTCCCTCCCCTCCTTCCCTTCAAGGGTTTCCATACCCCTACCCTCATCCCCACCCAGTCCAGTCATTCGCTTGACTCCCCCCACCACCCCTCCCACTGTTCCCCCAACCGTTCCATACCCCTTCCCAGCCTCCCTTCCCCTCTCTCCCTCTGCCTCTCTCCCCATCTCCCCCTCCACCTCTCCCCCCTTCCCACCCAGCCCAGTCATTCTCTTCACACCCTGCACCACCCCTCCAACTGTCCCCTCCACCGCTCCATACCCCCTCCCGGCCACCTCCTCCCCCATCCCCACCATCTTCCCAACCACCCCCCTTGCTGTCTCCGTTGTCGTCCCCACAGTCCTGCTTGTCATATCTCCCACTGTTCCTGCCACGCCCCTCGCCGTGTCTGCTGTGGTCCCCACGGCCCGTCGTGCCACGTCAGCAACACCCGACACAAGCCCTGCCCCAGGAATTGTCCCAACGTACCCCTTAGATTCAGTTCCCGGCATCTCACTCCCTCCCTCCATGCCTCTCCCACCTGTTCCTGCCACTCGTGCTCCCACTCCTGTCCCACGCATCGTCCCTCCTGCAATTCCTTCCAGAGCGCTTTTCACCCGCGCTTTCCCTGCTTCATACGCTGATGCCTCCCGCCCCTGCCGTGCTCCTTGCCCCGTCACACCAGCCCCACCCATCATGCCTCCACCCGTGCCTCTTGCCCCGCCAGGGAGAATGGGCGCAACAAGCTCCTTCGCCTGCTGCACCGCCCCGCCTGCCACCTGCTGCCCTGTCTGCAGCCCCGTTTGTGCTGCCTCCCTCGCCTGGCGATACCTGGTAGGAGGGAGAGAGGAAGGGCTGCAAATAGGTTTGGATGGGTGCAACCCACCTGCCACCTGCTGCCCTGTCTGCAGCCCCGTTTGTGCTGCCTCCCTCGACTGGCGATACCTGGTAGGAGGGAGGGAAGTAACGAGGGGGACAGGACGGGGTTACATGGACGAAAGGGACCAACAGATCGGGCAGGTATGACTAAAGCATCAAAGCTGACAGGAGGGCCTTGCCGGGAATGCGGAGGGGCAGCGATTTTTGTTGTTAAGCAGTAAAATAAGAGTTACAATCATTATTCCTCAAAAGTGCCATTAAAGTTTCGTAGTTTCTTACCCTTCCTGCAGGCTGCCAACCACTCCTCCTCCCGAAAGTCCCTGACCCTGCATGACTTCAGGAACAACCATTCAACAACCATCGGATGTCAGTTCATGAAACGTAAATTATTACTTCAAAGATGAGAAATGTTCCTTATCGCCACGAGGCATTAGAAATATGAGAGCCATAGGTCAACCGATTTCCAGAAGCCAGACCTGCATGCCAGTGCCAGTCACTTCCCCTGCTTCAGCTCCCGTCTCTCCCCCTGTTCCTCCCGCGATTCCCCCAAGGGTTCGTTTCACGTACTCCTTTCCCGCCTCATACGCCTTGCCCCCTCGCTCCACCACCACCCCTTCACCCCCAACACCCGCACCACCCGCACCGCCAGGGCCAGCAGCAGCAGCAGCTGCACGAGTTTGCACTCCCGGGCGTTGCTCGTAAGTTGTGGAAGACTCGAGGCCTGGGATCACGGGAGCAGCGAGGTGCTTCGCCTGCTGGACCGCCCCGCCAGCTAATTGCTGCCCTGACTCCAGTCCTGCTTGCGCTGCCTGCTTCGCCTGGCGATACCTGGAGAGGGCAGTGGTGGATGAAAAAACGCCAATATTTTGAATGGAAAAACGCCAGTATTTTGGATGAAAAAACGCCAGTATTTTGGTATGCATACATGTGTGGGGGGGAGAGAAAAGGGAAGGGAATGAGAAGGAATGTGTATTCTGTCAGTGGGTGGCATGAGGCGACAATCCCCAAGGGAGTACTGACGTGCACCCAGAAATCAGGTAGAAGCGTTCTCTTACCCAGCAGCAAGCGTTCCTGTGACTCCCTCCATAGCACTGGCTCCTCCCTCCCCAACAGCACTCCCTGCTCCTTTCCCCACCTCCCCCTCTTCCTCCTCCTCCCCTTCCTCCTCCACAGCACCCATCCACTTGCGGTATACCTGCCGAATCACCTGACTAGCAACAGAACCCGCTTCCTTGGCCTGCTGCATCCCCAACTGCCCTGCTTCCTGCACCACTTCTAGTGCCTTTTCCCCCAGCTCCTTGCCTTTCTCCGGCACACGTCCCACCACCTCCCCTGCTTGACCGGCCATCTCCCCTGCTTGCTGCCTCGTGATCTCCGCCCCCTCCTGTGCTGCTTCGTAGGCTGTCTGCGGGAGGGTGTCTTTTCCAGTTGTTGCTATCATTTCTGGGCGGCCGGATTGACCAAGTTCTCGCTCCTTGGCACGCATTTCACGCTCGGCCTGCTCGCCCCGCTCACCTGCCCCTCCCCACGCACTCTCCCCACCAGCAGCCTCACGAGCACTGCCCATGCCAGCTACACCCCTCACCTGCCCCTCCACCTGCCCTAGCCCTCCCTTCACAGCCTCTTTACCCCGCTCGAATGCCCTCTCCTCCTGCCCCTCCCCACCAGCCCCAACCATCTCACTCACACCTCCTTTCCCTCCACTCGCCCCACCTCTCTCTTCAATCACAACACGCTCCTCTTCACTCACACCCGGCCTTCCCACACCAGACACCCACCGCCCAGCAGATTCAGCAGTCCTAACCCCGCTCCCAACCACCCCCTTCACTCCTTCCTCTATCTTTTCACCCACACTCCTGGCACTCTCCCTCCCCCTCTCGAACGCCTCTCCAGTCCTCTCCTCTCCCTGCTCCCCAAGCGAAACCCCAGGCACCCATTGCCCAGCAGTCACGGCAGTCCTAACCCCAGTCCCAACCAACCCCTTCACCCCCTCTTCCACCCTCTCACCCACACTCCTGGCAGTCTCCCTCCCCCTCTCATACGCCTCTCCTGTCCTCTCCTCTCCCTGCTCCCCAAACGGTACCCCAGGCACCAATCGCCCTGCTGTCTCCGCCACTCTCCCCCCCACTTCCTTCCCCACCTCCAAAGCCCTCTCCCCCAAACCCTTCCCAGTTTCAAACGCGCTTTCAGCAACCCTAAACCCTGTACCCGCAACCCCCTTCGCCACACCCACACCCGTCTCTGCAGCACGCTCAGCAGCACTGAGGCCCAATTTCGCCATACTTTCCCCCGTTTCAATCACACCCTCCCCCATCCTCAGCCCCTGCTCGCCCGTTTTAGTCACCAGCCCTTCAGCCCCCTCCGCAGCCTTCCCCGCACCTACCTTCACCTGCCCATACCCCCCCTTCAGCACACCCTCCCCTTCCTCCGCCACCTCCCTCGCCCTCTCCCTCCCATGCTCATACGGCCCTTCCCCCATGGTCTGACCCATCCCAACACCTCCCAACCCAATGCCACCCATCCCACGCTCCTCCGCCCCAACATCCCTAATCCCACGCCCCTCCATTCCACGACCTTCCATCCCCCCTATCCCCCGCCCACGTTCCCCTGTAGGCGCACTTTCCCCTGCAGGGAGACTTTCCCTCTCCACTTCCGCCAACGCCCGTTCCACAGCCCCCACGCCACTGCCCGCCCGCCCAGTCCCGCCCACACCCGTCCCTCCCTCTCCAATCCCCCTCACGCCCTGCCCTTGCGCCCACCCCGGCCCAGACTCGCCCTCTGCTGACGCCCCATATCCACGCCCAGGCCCATGCGTCCCAATTTCTGGTTTCGGTGATCCCTGGCCCATGCCTTCCGAATTCCGGGCTCCTCTCGAGCCGATGCGTGTGAAACACGTCCTCAGGCATTCCAGTGGGGCTGGGAAGGGTTGGGAGTTAGGGAGAGGGAGCAGCAGGCGAAAGGGAATTTAAAAAACCGAAGTATACAGGAGGGGGGGGATTGGAGGGGGGGGAGGGGAGTAGGGAATAGCCAAAAGCAAGATTTGGGACTAATGACTGACCATGGCAGCATGCAGCGGATTGCAAGGCTCTCCCAAGGCTGACTGCAACAAACCGCAGCGTATCAAACCTGACCGCACTGTACCGCAGCATGGTACAGCAACATGGTACAACAGCATGGCAGAGCTAACCGCAGGATACCAGAGATCTTGGCAGCAAACGAAGCACACCAGGGCTGACCACAGCATACCGCAACGCACCGAAGCATACCAAAACTGGCCACAACACACCGCAGCATGCCAGAACTGACCACAGCATACCGCCACACACCACAGCAAACCGTAGCAAACCAGAGCGGACCGCAGCAGCGAGCACCCACTCATGCGAGCAGCACACCTGATGGTTGAGGACGTTTCTTGAGGGGTCACTCCGACTCCCGTGCCTCGCCCTCCGCCTGCTGCCGTGCCTCGCCCTCCGCCTGCTGCCGTGCCTGCGAGAAGGGGCAGTTCTTCCTCGCCAGAAGGGTGGAAGGGCTGAGCGTACTGCTGGCTGTACGGCTGACCAGATTGACCTGGCTGCAAAGCGGACTGTTGACCGTACTGCTGAGCGTACGGCTGACCGTACTGCTGACTGTGCCGACTATACTGTTGGCCGTACGGCTGACTCGCTTGACTGGAAAACATCTCCGTTGACTCAGGTTGAATCGTTCCCGAAGCCACCATCTTCGGCTCCTGGCCCTGACCCTCACCCTGAAAGCACAAGCAACAGGGGGCGACACAAGGTGCTTTAAGACATCTCAAGTCGTTCCTGAAGCCACTATCTTCGGTTACTGGCCCTGACCTTCGCCCTGAGGAAAGCAAGAGAGAGCAGAGTTGAAAAAAAAAAAAAGAGGCGGGACGCAGAGGGGGAAAGCCGGGGACGGAACAGGGAAGGCGCGAACGTAAGAGTGGGAGCAAACGAGGGACTGTGAAAGGGCGAGGGCGAGGATGGTCCATGCCTGGCCAGAAACCTTCACATCGAATCGCTGCTGCTGCTGGGACGCCATCGGAATTAAATTCGCGAAAGGATCGGATACGCTGCGTGCTCTGCCGTGAGGTAGCAAGCTCTAGATGGTAGTGATGTATCGAGAATCTTGGATATGCTTGCAGAAAGCTCGTCGACTGGTCGGAAACTGAAGAAAAAGAACAAGTCTGATGAAAAGAAGCAACGTATTTGGAGAAAGCCTGCGAGCCTGAATTCACGCGTCGCACCATCTTGACCATCGGTGAATATGTTGCCGAGTTAGAGAGGGCTGAGAAATGCGGCGCGAGGAATGATTTGCTGCATGTAATATAATTTCTAAGAGGTGTGTCCGATGCTGTGACCTGTTTGTGTGCTCATGATCACCACGTGGCGCATGTGTGTGGCTTTATGGGCAGGTGGCGGCACTGCATATTCCATGCCACCTCGCAACTCCCATTGTAGCATACGCGTTAGCAAAGGGAGTTTGTTACAGAAACAGACGATACGTTATACATGTCATATAGCAGTTTGCTTCTAGGGAGCTTGGTTTCGCACGGGGGGATCGCACAACTGTTCGCGTAGCTGGCGGTTTCACGTGTCTTGGTAACCTCTCCGGACATTTCGCGAAAGCCGTGAGAAGTCGGCTTTTGACTACTGGAGCCACGTAGGTACACACGTGGCTGGCTATCCAACGCGGGAAGCTTCGCACACTCCACAAATGGGATTGCCTTTTTCGCCGTGAATTCGGCACCTTTCCCTTCCCGCAGCGCCTGGGCAAGTCTCATCCTTTGGCCAATCGCGATCACAGGTGTCCTGACCTTATTGACTTGTCCCTTGCGCTCCCTTATAATCCGACCTGGCATCGTCAGGCCTGTTATTGGACGACCGAAGCTGCCAGCTAAGCGGCAACTTGGTAGCAGAATTCCATCGCTAACAGTCTTCACGAGGGCAACCAAGTTCGCGAATCCCCTAACGATGATCCTTTAGATTTTCGCACAGCAGAAGGTGACGCATCACCAATCTGGGGACCCATCAGATGGCCTTGGGAATGTCGAAGATCAGAATCAGCCAGTAGGAGAATGGATCACCCAGTGAATTCAGGCTTGATCACTCTTAGGACGCGTCACATGTCCAACACCGATCCCGTGAAATATCGGTGTGCAGCATCTACAGTACCTTCGTCATTTCGTGAAAGACATGTAACCCGTTGTCGTTAAGCATGTCGCGAAATTCGTGCACACACATAAAACCCCAGATCGGATGGCTCAAGCAGGCACATCGATCGTGCGATTGACAGCTCGGGAATCGATGTCGCGCCACCAGTTCCAGCCACGATCGAACGCCGTCGCATACCGTCGGCCACTTTCGATGTGGTAACCGGGCGACATCGCACACAGTCGGTGGGCTACACCTGCGTAAGGACGAAGCCTAGCGAGTGCTGTGCGACGTGCCAGCGAAGTACGACTCATGCGCTGGCCGATTTGGTGAACAGTTGGCATGGAGCACACCACTTGCTAAACCGGACGTGTCACACTCGGGGAAGCAGCCAACACTGCTCCGGCAGATCGATTCCCCTTTTTCGTACGCGATGCACACAAACTCGGTGTTTGGAGCCGATCACACCCCGGTGTTGGACATGTGACGCGTCCTTATCTACTGTGTCTGCTCAACTAGTTGGTCGAGCTGGGAAATAATGCCAGTGATCATTGCTTTCTGAGAGAAAGGACTGGTAGAGTTCTGCTGTTGAATGGCTGCTGGCGGTCGTAAATATCGCAGAGACTGAAGCAAGTTTCTCAAGGACTGACCAGTTGTGAGCCAAGCAGGAAACAGAAGACCCGTGCTTCTGCTCGTCAGATTCAAAAAACTTGGTCATTTTCAATCCAAGCTAAAATTCTTGGGACGGACGTTTGTCAACGTTAGGGCCAACCGATCACCCACACCGAAAACTTGCAGAATCTGCCTCTGATTCGGATTCTTTTTATACCTTCTCTAACAACATCCGAGATGGAGACCGGAACAGCGCGTGCAGCTGTGATTCTTCCCGCTAATGCGTTACCAGGAGCTCTAAACCAGCAATCCCGTGTCACCATCGCAAAACCGGCGACTTCTTTCCAGAAGTGCAGCTTACAACTACTATCAAGCTCATCGAACCAAGTCGGCTCAGAATCTAAGCTCCTGAATGTGTCACCAATCAACAAAAGCCGGACGAGCAGGAAAATCGGTCGTGTGAGTGTCAGCGCAAATGCCGGCCGCCATGGAGCGGCCGGCGCGGGAGACCGCCAGCACAAGCAGCACCACGGCTCCTCCTCGTCGTCGCCGTCGACCTCCTCCTCCTCCTCCTCCTCCGCGTCGTTCTCCTCGTCGTCTGAGCAACGGATATCGCACGCGGTGAGCGCAGGCGCGACGAATCGGCCGGACTCCGCGTCGATCGCGCAGGACAAGGAGAAGGCTTCGGCGAACATTTCGGTGGGCGCGCTGATGAACGAAGCGGAGGCCACGGAGGTGGAGAACGCGTGGGAGGCGCTCATGCGGTGGGGCAAGTTCTGGCGGGTGAAGGAAACCAGTAACACTGACGAGGAAACCACCAAGGTGGGAATTTGTCGTCTTGTTACCATGTGACTGATACAGGCATGTCTCCAATGTGTGTGATTTTTTTTGCGAATGACCGGTCTTGAAGGTAAGAGTTTTGGTTCCGTCTCCGACTTTTGAATCCACAATACTGAGGCACTCAAGGACACTGATACTGGTCTTAAACGAAATATTCGAAAATGCGAAAAGAACTTTCAATGTGTGAAGCTTGCTGGGGAGGAAGAAATCTACGAGGCTTTGAATGGCCTGAAGAAGAAACTAAGTTAGAAATCGTTTTTGGAAAAGACCGAAGACGTGAGTAGTGCATTAGCACATTACGAGGCGTTCAAAAGGGGTTCATTGCTGTGGCTTCATCAGACTACGCCACGTCGGATCAGCGCGATCTTAAAAAAGGTCAGTCCTGGTGTAAAGTGCGCGAAACAGAGTGTGAAACACTGAAAGTTTTTCTTAACACCTTACTGCTTACTTGCTCGCGCCGACAATGCGGACTTGAAACCCAACCTCGTGCTGTTGCCTCTCCCTTTTTCTGCTTCTCCACATCCCCTCCCCCACGCTTTCCCCCCCTCAACCCCACTCTCTCTTCCACCACCGTTTCCCGATCCCTCTTCGTTTCCTCTCCGCGCGTGGTTACTCCGCCAGGTCGTTATCTTCGGCGGGGGGGCGTTCGGGACGGCGCTGGCGCACATGCTGGCGCGGAACAACGCGGAGCTGGACGTGGTGATTCTACACCGCTTCGAGGAGGACTGCAAGAACATTAACGAGCTGCACTGTAACAGGTACAAAGCACATGCGCATCCCCCCCAAAACCAACCCGCTCGCGCGACGAGACCATCTCACCGTCAGCGCGTTTTCCGTCCACTGAGCGTGGCCTGCCTTCATGTGACGATGCCTGCGCGCAACGATGACTGCGCGGACCAATGCCTGCCTGCCGCCCCCGCGAACTGAACCTTCGCTATCTTAGCGCTGTGAGATTTGAGAGACGCCTCAGTGCATGATGCGTGGCCCACTGCACACCACTGGCTGGCTTCCCCCACTTCGTCACCTTGGCTTCGCCGGGCTCGTCTGCTCTCCTGCCCATCTGTAGTCCTATCCATCTGCTTCTCTCCTCTCTCCGACGTCTCTCCTGCTTTCTGACGCGGCTTCGGAACAATGCAGACTCGCTCACATGCTCAGTGGTTTGCTCACTAGCGACCCGGACATCATTCTCCCTGACAACATGCGCGCTACCAACCATCCGCCCGGCATGCCTACAACATCTTCCTTTCCCCTCTCCCTCCCTCCCTCCCTCCCTCCCTCCCTCCCTCTCTGCTTCCCAACCCCCCTCCCTCTCCTCCTCCCCCTTCTCCCCCCAGCGCGTGCCATCCGGGCATCATTCTCCCCGACAACGTGCGCGCCACCACTAATCCCAAGGAGGCCATCACGGGCGCGCAGTACGCCATCCACGCCATCCCCGTGCAGGTGGGGGGGGAGGGATTATGAGGGTTGAAGGGGCTTATGAAGGGGAAAGGGGGTAGCGGGACGGTAGGATATGTGTTGAGGCCATCACGGGCGCGCAGTACGCCATCCACGCCATCCCCGTGCAGGTGGGGGGGGGGGGGGGGAGAGGGATTATGAGGGTTGAAGGCGGTTATGTAGGGGAAAGGGGGTAGCGGGATGGTAGGATATTTGTTGAGGCCATCACGGGCGCCCAGTACGCCATCCACTCCATCCCCGTGCACTTGGGTGGGAAGAGCGGGGCATGATGAGGCGGGTAGCGGGACAGTGCTGGTTGTCTTTGGGCCATCTCGAGCGCGCAGTACGCCATCCACGCCATCGGGGGGGTTACGAGGGGGGAAGGGGGTTATGAAGGGGAAAAGTGGATAGCGGGACGTTGGGGGTTGGGTTGAGGCCATCTCGGGCGCGCAGTACGCCATCCACGCCATCCCCGTGCAGGTGCGGGAAGAAACGTAGATGATGGGGGAATGTGCAGGGGTATCAATGCCGCTATAGATGCGCAGAGTGCGCCATCCATGCCATCCCCGTGCGGTTGAAGGGGGGAGGGGGAGGGGGAAGCAGTGGGGCTTGAGATTTGAGATTTGAGCTTTTCGACCACTTGGGATGTGAGGTGAGGAGTAAGGGAGGTGAAAGGAGAGAAGGGGAAGTGGTGCCTTCGCCTTCTCCCCCTCTCACAGCCCAGTGCCGCCTTCCTGCACTCCTTAGCAGCGTACGTGGCACCCACGCTGCCCATCCTGTGAGTGAGCAAGGGGCTGGAGCTGGGAACCATGGAGATGATGACCCCACGCGCTCCAAGCAGAATCAACGAGCAACCCTCTCACCCAAGACCCCTTCTCCCCTCTCTCCCTCTCCCCCTCCCTTCTCCCCACTCCCTCTCAAACCTTAACTTCTCCCCACTCCCTCTCAAACCTTAACGTCTCCCCACTCCCTCTCAAACCTTAACTTCTCCCCACTCCCTCTCAAACCTTAACTTCTCCCCACTCCCTCTCAAACCTTAACTTCTCCCCACTCCCTCTCAAACCTTAACTTCTCCCCACTCCCTCTCAAACCTTAACTTCTCCCCACTCCCTCTCAAACCTTAACTTCTCCCCACTCCCTCTCAAACCTTAACTTCTCCCCACTCCCTCTCAAACCTTAACTTCTTCCCACTCCCTCTCAAACCTTAACTTCTCCCCACTCCCTCTCAAACCTTAACTTCTCCCCACTCCCTCTCAAACCTTAACTTCTCCCCACTCCCTCTCAAACCTTAACTTCTCCCTCCTCCCTGCCTGCGCAGTACGTGCCGCCAACGCTGCCCATCCTGTGTGTGAGCAAGGGGCTGGAGCTGGGAACCATGGAGATGATGACCCAACACACCCTGGGCAAAGTCGAGATGTAATCCTCTTGCCCTCCCCCTTCTCCCTTCCCACTTCCCATCGCACTTTCCTTTCCACCCTACAGCCCAGCGCAGCATTCCTGCAGTCCATAGCGCAGTACGTGCCGCCCACGCTGCCCATCCTGTGCGTCAGCAAGGGGCTGGAGCTGGGGACCATGGAGATGATGACAGAGGTCATTCCTCGTGGCCTCGGCAACCCCCGCCAGCCCGTGGTGATTCTCTCGGGACCCACCTTCGCTGTCGAGATCATTCGAGAGCTACCCACCGGTGAGAGCAAGTTGCAGATGAGAGACGAGGAAGGTACGCTCCCAGGAGGCTGGGCAACCCCCGCCAGCCCGTGGTGATTCTCTCAGGGCCCACCTTCCCCGTCGAGATCATCCGCGAGCTGCCCACTGGTGAGTGCTGCTGCTGGGGTGTCAGGAGGGCCAGGGTAATGCCTTTCAGGCAGTCAGGCAGTCGATCCGTCAGTCACTTTGTCGATCAATCCGTCAGTCAGTTACTCAAATCAGTGAGAAAATCAGGTCTGCCTCTCAGGGCCCACCTTTGCTGTGAAGACTACTCGAGATCTGCCCACCAGTGAGTGCTGCAGGGGTGCCAGAAGGGTCAAGGCGTCAGCCAAATCCGTCCGTCAGTCTGCCAATTCGTCAGTCAGTCTGCTGGGATGCCTCTAGGTGCCTCAACCCCATCCCTCCCTCTCTTCCGTCCTCCCTCCCTCGTATCCCCCATCTGCGCTGGTGGCGAACAGCATGGTCCTGGCGTTGTCCAAGAGGGCGCAGAAGCTGACTGACAAATTGGCCTCAACCCCATCCCTCCCTCTCTTCCGCCCCCCTCCCTCTCTTCCGCCCCCCTCCCTCTCTTCCGCCCCCCTCCCCCCATCCCCGATCTGCGCTGGTGGCGGTCAGCAAGCTCCTGGCGTTGGCCAAGAGGGCGCAGAAGCTGTAGTGTTCAGACAACCCAACCCCTCATCTTTCCCTTCCTATCTCCCTTGTTTTGCCCTTTCCTCCAGCCCTGGTGGCGGCCAGCAAGGACTTGGCTCTGGCTAAGAGGGCACAGAAGCTGCTGGCGTCAAAAACTCTGCGAGTCAACACCACCACGTACGTGCCGTGCACAATGCACATGCATGTCCATGTTTATTCCATGGATGTTCGTTCTGTGCGTCATCACGTAAGTGCGCATCGCACCTAGAGTTGACTCACCTGTTCCGTCCCTATCCCGCCCCTTAATCCCTGGCTCTCTCTCCCACCTATGCATCTCTCTCCCCCACCACTCTCAGTGACGTGGTGGGGGTGGAGATGGCGGGCGCCCTAAAGAACGTGCTGGCGATAGCAGCGGGGATAGTGGAGGGCATGCAGCTGGGCAACAACTGCATGGCTGCTCTGGTCGCGCAGGGGTGCTCCGAAATCCGGTGGCTTGCAGAGAAGGTAAGTGACAGGATGTGTGGGTGGATGGGTGGATGGATGGATCAGTGGATGCATGGATGGGTGGGTGGATGGGGTGTTGGATGGATGGATGCATGCTTATACAGAGAGCTTATAAGGTATCCAGGCGTTTCCTCGCGCTTTTTCCTCCATTCACCCCTTCACACCAATCTCCTCCTTCCCACCATCCCAACGCCCCTCCTCCGACCTTTGCACACGCCCACACTCAAGCAGGCCTGACTGACACGTTGGAAGTCAGTCTCATGTGTTTCAGTAACGTCCCTCTACTCCCCACCCTCTCCCCACCCTCTCCCCACCCTCTCCCCACCCTCCACCCCACCCTGCACCCACCCCCAACCCAGATGGGAGCCAAATCCACCACCCTGGCCGGGTTGAGCGGCACGGGCGACATCATGCTGACGTGCTTCGTGTCCCTGTCGCGCAACCGCACGGTGGGCGTGCGCCTGGGGTCAGGCGAGAAGCTGGAGGACATCCTCGCCTCCATGACCCAGGTGGCTGAGGGCGTCGCCACGTCTGGCGCCGTCATCTCCCTCGCCCGCAAGTACCGCGTGCAGATGCCCGTGCTCACGGCTGTAGCGAGGATTCTGGAGGGAAAGCTGGAGCCTAAGGAGGCAGTCATGGAGCTCATGAGCCTGCCGCAGGTGAGGCATTTGGGCTGGCTGGACGATTGGAGGATGGTTGCGGGGTGATTGCCGTGATCTCCCTCACCCGCAAGTACCGCGTGCAGATGCCCGTGCTCACGGCTGTGGCGAGGATTCTGGAGGGAAAGCTGGAGCCTAAGTAGGCAGTCATGGTGCTCGTGAGCCTGCCCCAGGTGAGGTTGTCGCGTTTGCTGGACGGTTGCTGGACGGTTGCTGGACGGTTGCTGGGCGGTTTTTGGGCGTTTGCTGGATGATCCTTTGGGGTTAAACCACGGTGCACATTCACCTCGGTGGGCATCTAATGTTAACCTTTGGGTTAAGACCACGGTGGACATTCACCCTTGGGTTAAGACCACGGTGGACATTCACCCTTGGGTTAAGACCACGGTGGACATTCACCCTTGGGTTAAGACCACGGTGGACATTCACCCTTGGGTTAAGACCACGGTGGACATTCACCCCGTTACTTGGTGTGCTTTCATCCTGGGGAGCCAGGTTTCGCCCCTCCCCCCGATATTTTCGGGCCCCCATCTCCTGCAATTTTTGAATGTGTACCCTGGTTTTAAATAGAAATGGATTTTGTTGGACTTCATGAGTTCTGGATGGTCTCAAAACAACCCGTGAGTGGAGGCTGGAGGCCAGCCTGCAGCCTATGGAGGGTGTCATGGAGCTCATAAGTCTGCCTCAGGCGAGGCTGATGCGATTGGTGTATGAATGATGCTCGCTGTATGCGATTGTGATATTGGCTCCCCTCCTGTGAGCCTGGTATGGTTGAGTTGGTTTATAGCTCATGTGAAATGTCGCTGATGTGCCACCAAATCATTGTTTACTTGTTTCAATCACTGCAGGTCGAGGAGAAGTAGCGCATTGCTATTTGATGAAGCACCGTTGAGGATGCTGACGAGAAATAGGCAAAGAAGAGTCTTATTGTGCCCGTGACAGCGTGCTTAGTGTGCTTTGTTTTTTTTTTTACAATTATGATTTTGAGATGCATGCTGCATCGGGTAGCAATGCTCAAATATTTGTGCGAAAGGATTACATCCTGGGTGTCGTGGAGGCCAAAATACCGGTACCTGTATGTGTATCTTTAGACACTGGAGTTTGCTATGGCAGACAGTGTGTTTGCAGCAGATGCAAAGCAGTTTCTTTCCCATCTCTATCTTTGACCATGAGGCACAAATTTAGAAGCTAGTGTCTTATGTGAATACGTGTCAGAGGTCCACTGGTGATCCCCGATTGATCCTAGGGAAGGGTTACAGGCATGGCGGCCTGGGGGGTTATGGGCGCACTCACCCGCTACACAAACAAGCCCTTTTATCCCAGTGGTTAGTGGCTGGGATTCTGACATGGTATCAGAGCGAAGGTCTCGGGTTCGAATCCCGGTGTGTGCACCTCGGGCATCCCAGTGCGGGGGGGTGTCAGAGGTCCACTGGTGATCCCCGATTGATCCTAGGGAAGGGTTACAGGCATGGCGGCCTGGGGGGTTATGGGCGCACTCACCCGCTACACAAACAAGCCCTTTTATCCCAGTGGTTAGTGGCTGGGATTCTGACAATACGTTCCGTAGAGAAAACACAACTATTACTTGTTCCGGACGCTTCATACAGCAAAAAGGCACTAGACTATTGCCGTGCTTGGGAAACCAGGAACAGAGATGGCGGGATGGAACCAGAAAAGGGTTACGGTACAAGCTTCTATGGGTGTGATTATGAGTTACAAGGAGGCATTTTGTACAGGAACTCCAAACAGGCAACTTTTCTGGGAGGGAAGGGACACCTGCAACAAGGTTCAAGGTTTTCCTCCATGCAATGACGCGGGATTTCCGTGAATCGTGATGAGAATCCTCCCTGCACAAAGCGTGAATGGTCGTGGGACCGACGCGGCATGTCGCGGCGTGTATTGATCAGAACGTTACGGGGTCATTGGGCAAAACACTTGCTTTTTGTTGTGCATCGCACTGTAAACTGGCGTCAATCACGAACATCCAATTGCCTGTCCATCCAATTGTCTGTCGGTTGACTTCCTGCACCCACACCGCTACGGAACAGCTGTGGCCACTGTGCTCTGCTGGAAAGAAAAGAAGCACCAGTCTGGGTTTGAAACGGAATTACAGATTCACGGATTCTTTCCATACGACAAATGCTGCATTCCCAACCCTAGTTCCAAGTCTATGGCTGAAGGAGACTCAGAACCCTACCCGACCGCTCCAGTGTGTAAAGAATTCGTTCAGCACCAGAATCCATCCTACTGAACCGCACTAAGGCGAACTGGTGTGATGCCATGAGGGTATCTTTTTGTTTGACGGAAAACATGACACATGCAACGTGTCGAAGAAATCAGTGTACACCTGATGCGCGTTATAGTTCCCCGGGTGGCCCTTGTGCTCTGGGCTTATATCTGATTTCAACATTTCGCTGAGTTCGTGCGTTTCGCAACCGCCTTGGGGGGTTCTTAAAAGGCACAGACGGTAACACCTTTGTTTTTTCCCGGTACAGTGGCGGGCGGCGTGCTTTGTTGTGAGCTAATACACATGGTTACCCCCCTTAACGTTTCATTGCAATGCCTTGCAATTACAATCAAACGCCCTAATGGTCAAAAACAAGAAACAACCAATAAAACAGCCACACCTGTTCCAACACCCTAACAAACCTACCACCCCCATTCCCCCCCACCCGTACCCGTCCCGTTAATGCAATCACCGTTCACCACAGGTGTGCATGAGTCGTGCACATTTGTGCAAATGCGGAAATGTGTTCCCCGCTGTTGTGGATTTCACAGCCTCATCCACTCAGCCGCCGCGACATAGCCGCCCATCACGGCGGGCGCCCCAGCGTCAATGAGCTCCTGCCGGCGAGCAGACTGGGCAATCCAGTCAGGGGTCGGCACCGTCATCCACGCCGGCAGAACGCGACCACGGCGACGTGGAGTCTCTGCTGGCGGGGTGTCCTCGCGCGTCATGACGGGCGCCGGAGCGGCGTTCAGGTTGAGCGCGGGGCTCGCGCGCTCCATCCGCGCGATGATCAGAGGGTTGCGGATGTCAAACAGCGCGCACAAATCCCTCGGCGTGATGCACGTCGCACGGGCGTACCCGATGAGCATCTCGCACGCGGCGCGAGCCGTGCGACGTGCTTCGCGCGTCGTAGGGTTGTTGTCGTCGTACACCGCCTGCATCGACGCAGGCGCCTCCCACACGTGCGCCGTGTCAGCCGATGCCGGCTCCAGCGCCAAGGGGTCATCGCCCGGCTCGGCGCACACCGGCTGGTTGTCATCTATGCCGACAAAGTCCGCCGCGGCCATCGCCGACGGCCCGAGGCCGAGGCGGTCGATCAAAATACCGACGTCGTTCACATCCTCGTCCAGGCCGATGTCGCCGCCAGCCGGGAGCTGTGGGTCAGCGGGGAGCTCCACGTCCTGCAGCTCCATCGCCCACGCCCGCGGGAGGCATTCGGTGCGCCACCAGCAGCGCTGGATAGTGCGACGCGGGATGTTCATCCACGCGTCATGCAACCACTCCAGCACACGACGGAGGTTCGGCTTGTACCTCGCCGCCGCCGCGGTCGCGCCATCTGCGGTCCACATGCCGGAGAAGGCGCGGAGCCAGTGCTGGCGGTACCGCGCCTTCGCCATGGCGATCATCCCTTGGTCGAGGGGTTGCGTGAAGCAGGTGGTGTTTGGCGGCAGGTAGACCAAGCGCACGTTGTTGAGCTTCTTCGTGCGGAATCCGAAAAGGTCTTCGGTTTCCGCGCCCTCGGTGATCAGGGTGTGGCTGCTTGCGTTGTCGAGCAGCACGACAACCTGGCGGCCCTCAGCGTACGTGGCGGTGTCAAACTGCTCAAAGAAGTGCGTGAATAGCTGCACCGCACGGGGTACGGGGAAAGTCAGGGGGGTTGGGGGGGGGGGGGGGGGAGATTAGAGATGGCTTCATACACCGTGGGGGGATAATGTTTCATAGCGGTGTACAACTTGTGTGCGTTAAAATGAACTTACCGCCTTAGTCATCCACCCCTTAGCAGTGTTGCGCCAGTAGCAATACTCCTCGGGGTCGAAATCCAGCCTGAAATCGTGGGGCCGCTTGGCCTTGGAGATGACGAGCGGACGGAAGGCGTATGTCCCCACCGCGTTAACCAAGAAGCCGACGGTGAGGCGTTCCTTCGGGAGCTTCCGCCCGGCAGCCCTGCCCGTGCCGTACGTCTTGCGAGGAAGCACGCTGATGTAAAGCGCCGTCTCGTCAAAATTGTAAGTGTCACGCGGTCGCACGCCAAGATGCATGAGAAGCTGCGGAAGCTTCTCCTTTGTCGTGCGTACGGCGTTCATATCCTGGTCGGCCGCCTCGCCGACGGCACTCATGCAGCGCACACACTGGTGGCGCAGCGCACGGCGCACCCAGCCGATGCTGCAACGGAATGTCGGACGCGCGCCGTTCGCTTGCGCCATCGTCGCGACATGGTCGCGGATCGTCGCGAGGGTGAGCGGGACGCCGGCAGGGCCTGCGTTGGCAATCCAGCGTGCCATCGCGCGCTCCAGATCGGGGAATGCCCCGCCTCGGACCCGAATAGCGTCGACGGTGTCGTCAGGAATCCGCCATCGGTCGGCGCCTTTCAAGACACGACCAATGGTCGAACGGTCGGGCCTGACACCAAAACGCGTGAAACACTAACGCGCGAGGTCTACTTGGCGCAGCAGGGGGTTCGCCACATGATGGGCACAAATAGCCCGTTTGATGTGCAGCGCGAGCTGAGACCTATGGTAAAGGCGACGCATTTTGCGCCACGGATGAGTCTTAGTTAGATTGATCTGTCTGTGGTTTGTCGAGTTGATTTATGTGCAGGCTGTAAGGTGGCGTTGTGCCTCAATTTGTTTCAGGGGTGTGCGAGGTTTCGCACAAGATGCGCGCACCAGATGCACATGCATCTGCCGGCGTTTGTAGAGGTTAGGGGACAAGGTAACCACAGCCACGAACCGTGACGTGTGCTGTTTGCAGACTGTGAGGCTCTCAGGGGGCATGTACCGAGCAAGGGCAATGTACAGGTAGACATTTTTGCACAGCCACAAACTGTTAGACACACCTGGGTGATGCACATGTGGCATGACGTAACGTGATGTTGTTTGGCGACGTTTTACGAATGTCGTCCAACCGTTTCGTAGCTTCTGTTTCTGGCTTAAAAACAAGGTCCGGCCCGGACGACAATGGTCGTCTTTTGCTGTGTTGCCGGGTTTGGAAGTGTTCACAAGGTAGATGCAAGTGGTCTCATGTGCTTATACCCTAGGTGCATCGTCAGGGCAAAAAACCCACGGGGGTAAGGTTTCCAATTTGTGCAAGGCATTTTCGCGTGCAGGGGGTGAGCATCATGTGTACTACAACGCAGTCTTCACTTCATGATACTGTAGGGACAACGTGCCCGCAACGGGTCAGTCGTGCCCGCAACTTTTCCTACACAATGAATTCTGGTCACCCTTCAAAACCTGCATTCATGGTGCTCCTTGTTACTGTACTGCACAAAACCCAGCCAGCACACATAGATTGGGGTGGGGCTGCAGAAAGGGGCTCACACAGGCGAAAAAAGGTCCCACAGGAGATTTCTCATCGCACGGCGGCCAACCCACCCCAGTAAGTCAAGGTGGTGCCAACGGATCTCTGGCTCTGCTGAAAAGGGTGACAAAAATAACTGTTTTACGGTCAGACGTTTTACTTACAGCAGCTGTACACGTAGCTGAGAATCACTGCTGCATACTGTACTCGACTGTATTTCACCACCCCGCAAATACACCTGTTGCCCGTTTGACTCCCCCATGCCTGCCTTATGAAGAGGGTCTATAATTGATTATGATATTTCGCTCAATTTCGCGCACACCGCCTCGGGCA